ATTCTATTCTGTCTGCTGTAGAACCTTATCCAAACTGCAATAGTATAAAATTGAGGTTTTTGGAGTGCAGATAAAGTTTTATATCCATACCAGCCAGGAAAGTCCCTGGAGTCCGATCCATCACATTTGAGACAGTTAGTTTGGACGAGAGTACACCTGTCTCTTATACACATCTAGATGTGTATAAGAGACAGTATATATATAGTTAATGAACTACTACAAAGTTAACCCAATGAAAAAATAGTGAAATTTTGCTTTAAATTACCAATTTTTGGATCTGGGTATGGGAAACATGTTTTTAGTCACTTTTAGGTGTTTTTTTTCTATAACTGTGAAAGCTGACAGGACCTTAGTTAAATAGTTACCCATTATAGTCGTTCAGTGGTGGCCCCGGGGGATCTGATGGGGTGGGTCCAAACACAGGGCCGACTAGACCCTCGGTCAGAGTCCCGGAAAAAAAACATCCCTGGGCTTATGGGAGAGTTTTTTTTTTGTAGTTTTTTTTGTGTTTTGTTTTAGCTCAGTATGGCCCAAAATTTTGCTTTTTTTTTTTTAGCTTAGTATGGCCCAAAATTTTGCTTTTAAAGCAAAATAAGGGATTGGCAATCAAAATAAATCATTATTTGTGGTGTGGTGGCATCGGACGATGGGAGTCTAGGCCTGTCTGGCGGGAATTCCCACCTCCCAAGCAAATTTGGAATGATGACGTCAACACACCAAATTCCAAGACTACGACAATCAAAATTAAAGGAAATGTTAACCTAATTAAATCTTTCTACACAATATTTTTCTTCATTATCATTATTATACTATTATGTCCTTCCTTTATAATATTATTAATGTAATATATCATTATTCTTATGCGTTTAAAAAAAAATTATAGTTTATAATTTACATTAATATTAGCGTTAGTACTGTTATTCTTACTATACTGATGTCATTATTATTATTATCATCATCATTTTCCTCATTGTCATTCCCATCCTCATTGATGAGGATGATGCGGTTGATAAGTAAGGAAGATGATGAGGTAGATGAGGATTGATGATGGATGATGATGAGGAAGAAAATGTTTTGGATAATGATGAAAATGATGATGATGATGACAGTAATCAGGATGATGATGAGGATGACGATAATAATGAGGATGACGGTAATGATGATTATGATTATGGTGATGAAGATAAGAATGGTGATGAGGAGGATGAGGATGATGCCGTTGAAAAGTAAGGAAGATGATGAGGTAGATGATGATTGATGATGGATGATGATGAGAAAGAAAATGATGCTGATAAGGATGCTGAGGATAATGATGATAATATGGAAGAGGATTAGGATGATGAGTTGGATGATGAAAATAAGGATGATGATGATTATGATTAATGATAATGGTTGTTGATGAGGTGATCGTGATAATGATGAGTATGATTATGATGTTAATGAGGTTAATAATGACGAATGATGAGAAACATTCCCTCTGCCCCTCATCCTCATCTTCATTCTTGTCGTCCTCCTCCTCTTCATAATCATGATGAGGATGATGATTGATAATTATAATTAATAAGGATGATGATGTGGTTGATGATGATGACAGATGATGATTGTAATGAGGATGATGATGAGGATGATAATGACAATGATGATAATAATAAGGACTATGATGATGAATGATGGATGAATGATGATGATAAGGAGTATAAGGATGAGGTTGATGATGATGAGGATAAGGATGATGGTGGATGAGGATGATTAGTAGGATGAAGGTGATGATAACGATGATTGGTGAGGATGGTGATGAGGGTGACGATAATGGATGATGGACCAACTTTACGTGTAAATTTAAACAATGTGGACTGGATCCATTTTACGCAAAAATATGAAATATCTGGACACACACAAACCAGCTTTGTAAATATTACAATGCTGGTGGGCTAAAAATGATCGATGTCCACTGTTTCTTTAATGCTTTAAAGTCGACTTGGATTAGAAGACTTTTTAACAATCAAGATTCAGAATGGGGTATATTTTCAAATACATTTGCAAAATTGATAATTTCTTTTTGTTGGATGGAGGCTCAATGTTTTTTAGAAAACCGGAAAAGGTAAAATATCAAAATATTTTTTGGATCAATGTATTTAATGCATGGAACAATTTTGTTGTTACACATATATACCACACACAAATGAAGATATAGGCCTATACAGAACTAGCATTTGGTACAATGACAAAATAAAAGTAGGGGAGAAAGTATATATTACCGTCATTGGATGAATAAAGAGATTAGAATGGTTGGTCAACTAATTGGTGAAAATGGAAGCTTTTATGATTTACATACTATAATATGGTTTAAAAACTCAGTTTTTAGAATATTATGGTTTAAAAGAAGCAGTCAAAGAATATATTCTTAATATAAGAGAAGATGTTGTTTTTAACAGACAAAGCAAATACGGAACATCGGTTACCCTTTAATCTAAACTTTATTTTAAAAGATAGGAAAGGAAGCAAGAGAATTTATAATTAAAGAATGTTCCTTTTAGCATAGAGAAAATGGGAAAAAATGATTATGGTGATGAAGATAAGAATGGTGATGAGGAGGATGAGGATGATGCGGTTGAAAAGTAAGGAAGATGATGAGGTAGATGATGATTGATGATGGATGATGATGAGAAAGAAAATAATGCTGATAAGGATGCTGAGGATAATGATGATAATATGGAAGAGGATTAGGATGATGAGTTTGATGATGAAAATAAGGATGATGATGATTAATATAAGAGAAGATGTTGTTTTTAACAGACAACGCAAATACGGAACATCGGTTACCCTTTAATCTAAACTTTATTTTAAAAGATAGGAAAGGAAGCAAGAGAATTTATAATTAAAGAATGTTCCTTTTAGCATAGAGAAAATGGGAAAAAATGATTATGGTGATGAAGATAAGAATGGTGATGAGGATGATGCGGTTGAAAAGTAAGGAAGATGATGAGGTAGATGATGATTGATGATGGATGATGATGAGAAAGAAAATGATGCTGATAAGGATGCTGAGGACAATGATGATAATATGGAAGAGGATTAGGATGATGAGTTTGATGATGAAAATAAGGATGATGATGATTATGATTAATGATAATGGTTGTTGATGAGGTGATCGTGATAATGATGAGTATGATTATGATGTTAATGAGGTTAATAATGACGAATGATGAGAAACATTCCCTCTGCCCCTCATCCTCATCTTCATTCTTGTCGTCCTCCTCCTCTTCATAATCATGATGAGGATGATGATTGATAATTATAATTAATAAGGATGATGATGTGGTTGATGATGATGACAGATGATGATTGAGAGAAGAATATATTCTTAATATAAGAGAAGATGTTGTTTTTAACAGACAAAGCAAATACGGAACATCGGTTACCCTTTAATCTAAACTTTATTTTAAAAGATAGGAAAGGAAGCAAGAGAATTTATAATTAAAGAATGTTCCTTTTAGCATAGAGAAAATGGGAAAAAGATTTAAATAAGGTCTATGATGAAAAAGATTGGTCATTCATAAATAGTATCCCTTTCTCGTGCACAAAGGACAGTAGATTAAGGTATCTGCAATATAAAATTATTCACAGAATTTTAGGCCATAACATTTTTTTTTGTTTAAAATGGGTATTTTCCAATGTTTTTGTTCTACTTCCCTGTTGTCACATTATTAATTTTATTTTAAGTTGCTTCCAAAATGTTGTACTTGTACTGATTTCTGAATAAAAAAAATGAAATTAAAAAAAAAAAGTATTTCGTCAACAGTGAAACGGATATAGCTATGCTTACAATGATGGACTATTATTTTTATTATGGAACATTATTTTGATTCTTGCAATTTCAATGATTTTAAGTATAGAATATTTAAAATTTTTCTTATATCTTATTTTATTGTATTTAGGATTTTTATATCTGTATATTTTAAATTGTTATAAAAGAAGGGCCTCTTTAAGTCAGCAAGAAGACTGATCAAATGTTTGTCATACTGTACTTTGAAGGGAAGGAAGGCCTATCACACTCCTTTGTTCTTTTGAACATTTGTATATAATATTGTGTACAGTAATTATTATCTAGGCCTTATGGCCTAGTATGGCAATGCCAGGATATAGGGTCTACTAAATCATTATTATATGATATCTATGTTCTTTTTGTAATTATCAATTCGTATGGCCTCGGAGTCAACGTTGCTCCAACGTGCGGATGAGTGGATGGCTTTAGTTCGTCCGTTGGTAATGTAAACTGGAAATGATGCAGTAGATGAGTAAAAAACAGATACATTTCCATCCGGGCTAGTTGCTCTCCGAGGCAGGAACGGCGGCCTGTGATGTAAGATAAATAAATAAGTATATAATGTATTACAGATACTTATTGCAAATTTATAGCAGCAGTATTCTGATTTATAACATTCAGTATGCAATGTTCTGTCGAATTGGCCTAATTTGTAATTATAGTTTTGCATATCCTTGAAGATGGAGCGGGGCCGACCCGCCCCACCTAAATCCGCCCCTGATGATGGGGATGATAATGTATATGATATGATAATGAAGAAACTGTGACGATAATGATGATGATGATGATGATAACAAATGATGATGAGGGAGGAGCAGACGGTAATGATGTCGACGACGACAATTAATTCAAAGACCATATGAGTGCCATTTACCGATAGAGAATGGAATTAATTCTTCGTATTTGATCAGTGTACCCTTGTCATCAATGAATCTTTCAGGTCTAAATTCTTCTGATTCCGGCCAGGTAATTTCATCATGCAACACTGCCCAAATATTTGGAACTACTGTTGTACCCTTCGGTATGAAATACCCCTCATATATAGTGTCATTTGTAGTACCATGCACCACTCCTGCAAAAACAAAACAACTTTACCCTAATTATAAAATTATTGTTTTATAAATGATTTTGTTGTTTTAAATTGTTTAGTCATAAAAAATATAAATAATGTGTATTGAAAGGCAAAATACTGAAAAACAACAATGTGATAGGAAAACAATGGTTGGGTCAACAAATTTGAAATTGGCAGCTCAGATGGCTGATGAATATGAGCTGATACACAAAAATGACCATAGACCATCCTTCAGGAATTTTCAGGGCAAACGAGACAAAGGTCAAAATACTAGTAATGTTCAAAAAAATTCTGGCTCAGGAAAAGATGTACAAGTCGGCAATTATGTATCCCAGGCACCCAAAAATCAGTCCAAAAATCTACCCCTTCCTAAGTCAGTGATAACCTGATTTTTATTGTAAAAAGCCAGGACATGTGAATGTTATAAACTGAAAAACAAGGATAAGAAGGATTTAGGTTTTGTATCAAAAACTGTCCTACCGGAAAATAGTGTCCCATGTCATGATGTGCAGGACAATGAGAGTCGTTCTCCCAAATTTGAAGATACTGTAAAATTAAGCAGGTCAATGAAAGTTATCGTAGCTTTTTGTTTGATGGTGAAGTGACCCCATGTTCATCTGGTGCGGCAGGTACGCCAGTGGTAATCCTTAGGGATACGGGGACCTCACAGTCGTTGATGGTGGAAGGTGGTTTGACCTTCCCACCTGATAGTGCAGTGAATGCCAAAGTATTGGTTCAAACTGTTGATGGCAGTTACATGTCAGTTCCCTTGTATAGGGTTGATTTGAAGTGTGACCTAGTTTGTGGTCCTGTTACTGTTGGTGTCGTCCCAGAGTTGCCTATGGCAGGTATTGAATTCTTGTTGGGTAACAACTTGGCTGGAGATAGGGTTGTTGCATCCCCAGTTGTTTCAGTCCAACCAGTTGAGGTTGCTGAAACTGAGCAGTTGCAGGTTGAGTTTCCGGGAATTTTCCCTGATTGTGTTGTGACGTAGGACTCTGAGTGATGAGGCGGATTCTGTTGATATGGAGGATTCTGGTGTTTGGTTGGCTGAAACCTTTTTCAAGGATTTGAATGAAGGGGGTTTGGTTCAAGACTCCATGACTAACAATTGTGAGTTGTTTAGTAAGTCTTCCTTTGTTAAAGCACAGCAGGCAGATCCTGAGTTGAAAGGCTTGTCCCAGACGGCATGTTCTGAGGCTGAGGCCGAGAAGGTCCCTGGGTGCTATTATGTCAAAGATGGCATTTTGATGAGGAAATGGAGACCTCTCCTTAAGCCAGCTGATGAAGATTGGACTGTGGTCCATCAGGCTGTTGTCCCTCCTTGTTACCGAAATGAGATTTTGAGAATTGCCCACGAGTCACCAGTTGGCGGCCATTTAGGCATTAGAAAGACCAAGGAACGAATCATGAGGCATGGATGTGGCTGATTTTTGCAGGACATGCCATACATGTCAGGTTGTTGGTAAGCCACAGCCTTCAATCAAGCCTGCGCTATTGATTCCAATTCCTGCGTTTTACGAACCTTTTACTAGGGTTCTGGTTGATTGTGTTGGACCATTGCCTAGCACTAGGTCAGGTCATAAATACGTTTTGACGATTATGGATCCATATGTCCACTCGTTTTCCAGAGGCAATCCCACTTCGAAATATCACAGCCAAGACTACGGTAGAGGCTCTAGTACAGTTTTTCACTCAGTATGGGCTGCCCCGGGAAGTTCAGTCTGACCAGGGGTCAAATTTCTTGTCGGGCATATTTCAAGAGGTGATGTATCAGTTAGGAGTGAGACAGCTGAAATCATCAGCATATCACCCTCAGTCACAAGGTGCGCTTGAGCGTTACCATCAGACCCTGAAGACCATGATCAGGGCATTTTGTGAGGAGTACCCTGATGATTGGGACAAAGGCATCCCATTTCTTTTGTTTGCTACACGGGACTCCCCAAATGAGTCAACGGGTTTCAGTCCGTTTGAGTTAGTGTACGGTCATGAGGTAAGGGGCCCCCTTAAGCTCATCAAGGAGCGGTTTATGTCTCGGGATGATAAAGTCAATTTCCTAGATAATGTATCAAAATTCCGAGAAAGGCTCAAGTGTTGCTAAAGAACACTTGAAATCTTCCCAGCAAACAATGAAGAAAAAGGCAGACAAAAAGTCTAAAGCTCGTAGTTTTAATCCTGGTGACAAAGTTCTTGTGCTGCTGCCCTTGCTTGGTGAGCCACTGAAAGCTAGGTTCAGTGGCCCTACTGTGCGAAAAAGAAATTAAATGATGTCAATTATGTAGTCAGTACACCAGACAGAAGGAAAGAACAGAGGGTGTGTCATGTAAACATGCACAAAGAGTACTTCGAACGGGGGGCTAGTCAGCCAGTGGGTGTGACACAAGTAATAGATAGTGAGGTAGATGTAGGAATAGAATCAGAGAACGACATGTCTGAATCAGAGATAAAAGACAGTGAATCCTCTAGTGTTAAGTTGTCTAACTCAGAAATGATAGGAAATTTAGATGAGGCCTTTGATTATCTACCTGAAAATCAAAGAAAAGATGTAACTAATCTGTTACATGAGTATCAAGAAGTGTGTAAAGACAAACCAGGTTGTACCCCTCTGGCTGTACATGATGTTAATGTAGGAGATACTAGCCCAATTAAACAAAATCCCTACAGACTAAATCCAAGCAAATTGTTGAAGGTTAGGGAAGAGGTTCAGTTCATGTTAGACAATGATATAATAGAACCAAGTCAGAGCAGTTGTAGTTCTCCTATTGTTATGGTTCCCAAACCAGATGGGTCCCAGAGGTTCTGTATTGACTACCGCAAGGTAAACGCAGTAACCAAGACTGATTCCTTCCTTCTCCCCAGGTTGGAAGGTTGTATTGATAGGATTGGGAACTCTGCAGTAAAATAGATTTGCTTAAGGGTTACTGGCAAGTGCCAATGACCGACCAAGCCAAAGAAATTTCAGCCTTTGCTACCCCAGATGGCCTGTTTTAATGTAAAGTAATGCCTTTCAGCATGAAAAATGCACCGGCGACATTCCAAAGGCTGACAAATCAAGTGATTGCTGGACTTAACCACTGTGTTGTATACATTGATGACATTTTGGTATATAATGACACATGGAATAGTCATGTTCAACACTTGAAACTCCTGTTTGACCGGCTCCAAAAAGCCAATCTCGTAATCAATTTGGCAAAGAGTGAATTTGCAAAGGCAAAAGTCACCTATCTAGGTCATGTGGTCGGTCAAGGGCAAGTGCTGCCAAGAGAAGCCAAGGTTGAAGCCATACTGGGTTTCTTCCCCATTCCCCAGAACAAGAAGGAGTACTGCTCAGATTTCTAGGGATGGCTGGGTTCTACAGAAAGTTTGTGCCGTATTTTAGTACTGTAGTTAATCCATTGACAAACTTAAGGGTAAAGTCAAGTATATCTGGTCAGATGGGTGCCAGGGGGCTTTTGAGAAACTAAAAGCCATTTTGGCCAACGAACCTGTTCTTGCGGCCCCAGATTTCACCAAGCCCTTCAAAGTGGCCATCGATGCCAGTGATGTTGGTGTCGGAGCGGTTTTGCTCCAAGAAGACGATGAAGGCATGGAAAAGCCAGTGAGCTACTTTTCAAAGAAATTACATAAATACCAGAAAAAATACTCGATAGATACCAGCTAAAAAGTAAACGTAAGTAAACAGACAGAAATAAAACCACAACTTTTGGACAACACAAGACCGATACTTAGTGGCGAGTGAGGGGTAGAAAAAGTCAAATAGTATAAAGTGAAAAGTACGCAAGCATGATTAGAATATAGGCTAGGTTAGTTACGGCAGTATGAACAAAGTGATGAGACTTTCAGCCACCACTAACCTCATTCTTTGATCACGTTATTTTTTCACATGTTGCTATATTGTCATATCCTGGTTACTGTTTTACTTTTGATTACTAATTGTAGGCCTAGCCTAATTATTTTCATTTATTTATTTATATATTTATCTATTTTCTTTAATTCGTGTATTTATATCATCACTAGTTTTATAATTACGTGTAGTTAATTTATATCTTATCTTCTATGCTACACACATTTTCATCATGCTTCATATTGCGGATTTATTTAGACCATTATATTTATACTTGTGTCTTTTATCAAGCCCGTAGCCAGGGGGGGGGGGGTGTTATGGTTCGGGCGAACCCCTCGAACTTTTGAATGAGTCCCACTCAGAAGGAATGTCTGTTTTTAACTTACCTAGCATTAAATCAAAATTTAGCACCTAATTCATTATTTGGTCACCCGTTTCTAAATTGTAGCCTGCCATACAAGCCTACATTCATAGAATTGCTTCAGAAGTTCGGAGATTTAAATTGAACGCAACTCCAGCAAACCATGACTTTACGATGGCACACATAAGAATGGCAAACATCGATAAAAATCCGGCTGCCGTCTCAACTTTCAATGGCCTTTGGCTGAATGTTTGTAAGAAATGTACCAACCGTTAACGAAACCGGTCGCCGTCTACCTAGAGTAAATGGTGCCACCAAACGAAGCTAAAGTTTTGCGACTTAATCCACCAAATGCAGATAATGTTTTGCGACTTAATCACCTGATTGTGGATTGTGTGGTTAGTAAATTCCATAGCCATAATGTCCATAGCGCACACTAAACTATGTGCTGTTGGAGCATTTTGGGGAAATTGACTCTCCTTTTTTCCATCCCAAACAAAATATTATTAATAAATCAACATGGTCCATCTCAGTCATCATAGCCAGTCACGAAGTTTATTTTCAACAGCAGACACACACTACAGAACGGAGTGCGTCAAAACGAGTGTTTGTTAATTTTTAGTGATAAAGAATCATGAAACGTCCTAGAATAGGCCTAACTGACTTTTTTTCGTCCGCTGTTGCAAAGAAGAAGGGTTATTGATTTCAAAATCAATTTGCCTAGCCTAGATGCTGACTAGCTAGGTTCTGCTCGTTCATTTAGAGACAGAATTATATCCCGATGACAAACTGGTGTAGGCCTAAGTACAGTAGGACGTACTACAGGTACTAGGCCTAGGCTTTTGTTGTAAAAGTTGAAGTGCATGTACAAAATGCACCATAGGCCTATGTTTCAAAAAAAAATTGTTAATTATTATTGGTTGGCCTGGGACCGGGGCAGGCAGGTCAGCTTTACCGTCGAAAGACCTGGAATTCGACGATGACGTTAGTGCATGTTTACAAACGCCATTGATTAGAATGAAAATAGACGCGCTGAATTTCGTTTTTTTTTTCATGAAAGATAGAATTTATCGAGCATTTATCTATATAAAAACAAGATTAATATTGTAGAAATTGTATTTCTAAGGATACATATAATTCATATTTCATTTGGCAGACAATAAATATTCAGGAATATATAATAAAAACGATTATTAATTCTAAAATATGCATCAAATCTCAGCTATTATTAATCAGTACGGTAAGCCTATTATGTTTAAAGTCTTAAAATAATAATTTCTAAATAGGCCTAGTATATAACAAATAATTGTATTAAAGTTTAGGTTCTCATGATGTCAGATAACGTATTGAATATGATGCTATATTTTGGGCTCTGACTTAATTTAACGATGGCCCTGTCAGTAGTAGGCCAAATGACAATATTTGAGCTTTTTTTTAGCCATGAAGTAAAATAGTACTATTATTTTCAGTGTACAAAATGAGAGTCAATAAGATGTAGTAGAAGAAGAATAGGAAGAGGAAGAGGAGGAAGAAGAACTTAGCTTTTTTTTTTATATAATAATAAATGTGTTGAGTATATTGATATTGATTGTGCGATGAGGGTTTTTTTTTTTTATATCTTTCGGTATTATTTAAACATGCCAATTCTCAGAAAATATTTTCTAATTTTATTATATTACCACTTTTTTATTACATAGATCTTTTTGAAAACATAACTGCTTTAAAACATCATTTATAGACCCATTAAACACAAAAACTGCTCTGGCTTCGGGGGCTTCACCCCCGACCCCACCATGGCCCTTAGGCAGACCCCTGGACCCCACGCCCAGAGAACTCCCCCTTGAAATGACCTAGCTACGGGCCTGTTTATTGTGGCCCAAATGCTAATGCATGTTTCACAATTTTCTGTTTTCATTCTGATTTTGGTTAATGATATATTAGTTGTTTATTATACAGTAGTATACCGTGGGAACGACGATTAATCTCCCTTCTCATTACAAACTGTTTACTATGTGTATACCCAATGTTTGGAGAAGATTTTATTTTAAAAAACAATTTCGGAAGCATTACAATGGCTACTACTAAATAAAAATAATTAAATAAAAGGGGATAATTAAAATACTACAATTGAAGTGTATAATTCAAATTTAAAAGCTTAAACACATTAATTATTTTCACAATTAAAAAAATTTAAGATTTATAAAATTTATAAAAATTTTCCATAAAATCAAGTTAGTAAGCAAATACATTTGGATTATGTTTTAAATTATAAAAGGAAGATGATACTTTACCGAGTGGAACTGCAGGTCGGATGCGTGTGACTTCCATCATTACAGCCTCACAGTACACAAGCTTCGGTTGATCTTTCAAAGTTGGAAGCTGTCCCCTGCCAGTTACTGAATCCAATTCTTGGTGTACCTTGGCCTGTATTTCTGGGTTAAGAGCTAAGTACAGCAATGCCCATTTTAAGGTTGTTGCTGTCGTTTCTGTTCCGGCGAGCACGAGATCTGCGACAATGTGCGTTGCTGATTCGTCATCAAACGCATCAACATTTTCATCACCGCTCTGTAGTTCCAATTGAGCTTTCAGAAACTCGTCAATGAAATCACGTGGCTTGCTGACGTCAAGAGTGTTTGCATGTTCTTCAAATTCAAATTTAATGAATTCGTTCAAGAAAATGTCTACATTCTTTAGGATCCTTTTCCAATTGCTTCCTGGGATAAATCTCATGAACGGCATAAAGGTCAGAGCTCCAGCCTGTGAACTATGTTCCAGATTTGTATAAAGTATGGTTAGAAATCTTTTAAATTCAGGATCGTCATACTCATATCTCTTTCCAAATAAGATTCCGCACGTAATGTTGGATACGGCATTTTCAATTATATGCTTTGGATCGTACCCTGCTGAGGACGTTGCCTCTTGTATTAGTTTAGACTTAAAATAGTCAATTTCGGTAATAATCCTGCTTTCAAAACTGGATTTACCCATTCCAAAGCTTCTCAGCAGTTTCACAGTAAACCTTCTTTTTTCTTTCAAGTTTTGGTGTAGGTATCCAGTTATCAAACCTAAAAAGTATACTGCTGTTAGTGTCTGTTTTAGAATCATTTTATCAAATTGTTAAATGAAACCTGACACAAGCAACACATATCTATTTATAAATTAGCCAACCAATATAAAACCATTCTGTCTTTGAATAAATTATAGGCCTAGTTTACTAACTGAAACTGGAGGCCGGAAAAAACTTCCCTCATTACAGCCCCTTTCGCTGTGAATTTTGCTTGTGTGGCTATTTACATTTTTGTTACTGACTCAGTATAAGAACTCGTAAGATTAATAATATTCAAGCGCTTCGAGGTTGTGTCAACTTGAGGCGCTATATAAATCCAGAATTATTATTATTATTATTATTATTATTATTATTATTATTATTATTATTATTATTATTATAATGGTCACATTATTTATTATTATTATTATTATTATTATTATTATTATTACGTAATCGAGAGAGCCACACGGCTATTAAAAATCTGCAATTGTGTATATGGAACGCCAAAAAGGGCAACTTTCAAACACACTTGATTGTCAAGCACACTCTATTTCCAGGCACAGTCGTTTAACAGACACAGTCGATTTTCGAGGAAAATCTGTTTTCAGACACAGTCGGTTTTAAGGCACAGTCGTTTTTCAGGCACAGTCGATTTTTAGGCACAGTCGATTTTTATAAGCACAGTAGATTTAGTCAAACCTGATACTGAACTGATAAGATCCATCATTCTAAGCCTTAGAAACCGACATTAAATTTCTTTACTGCATGGATAGTCAATCTCAAATTTAAAAATTTTTTTTAATTAACAATTTTTTTCTCCTCAGCCTTTTTTTTTAAAAATATGCGTGGTATTTTAATCTGTTATTAAAAATGAGCCACGTGGTTTTTTGCATATGCTTTCCTTTGTTAAAATTCTGAAATCTCGAGTGAGACGATGATTGTTTGCTAGAGAGAAATGCTGTAGCATATTTTGCCATATATTTCAACCAGATGTTTACTTTTTAGTATACACTTTATTTATATAAGAACCAGTAAAATTTTGCCCAGGCTCAGTGTTCATATTTTTTGGCCGATTTCAGACTCAAAATGTTCTTATTTTGTTCTTATTTTATACAATTTTCAAACATAAAAAGTTACTATTGTACAGCATTATAGTAACACTCTACTGGAATGCAGATAAAAGTTGCCCCGGAAAAATTGCCCTTGAAAAATAGGCCCCAGAAAAAATGACCCCAAATGACAGGTACGGTAAGTACAGTACACCACTGTAGGCCTACTGCTTTGCCTAGTCGCACCTACACATAAGGTACAGATATTTTTTGGTTTTTCTAGTTTTTGAAAATAAAAAATTTTACCTCAGCCGCCTCAATAAAATGTTCTTATTAAATGTGTTCTTTTTCGATGTCATATTGATATTTTCCCCTGATATGATACCGATATTATTTTGCCAGAATAAAAAGCTCCTGGCCGGTTATAAAATATGAAAAATAGTATCGTTAAATTTACAGCATCTCAGGGTTTTAGTCGTGGGTGTTAGATCAGACAATGCAGCTGTAGTATATATATATAATTATTTGAATTTTTTTAGATCAGAAACAGCTGTATGCCTACGTCGTCATTGTAAAATTGACTTCAACGAAACATTATATGATATTGGATTTGATTTTCTTTTAAAATCGATATTGAACAACAATTATAGTAATATGATGATACAGAACTAAAATATCCATTGCTTTATGCCATTAAACCAATGTTATTGTAGAGTCCTGTTAAAATTTTTCAAATTAATTGTCTTCACTGCATGGAAAAATCATTCGTTGTATTTGTATTTTTTCTCCATGGTGCTAATCAAGCAGACGTCTGAATGAACACAATGCATATTCTATTTTAATTTAATTTGCTTGGAATCACCATAGGCTATTTATTATGACATCATCACGAATTTCTAATACTGTAGTTTTTAATTAAACAATATTGCTTCGCACAGCCATTTCGTATTGTACGTGCTATTTCATTATCTTTAATAACTACAAAAAAATAAAATAAAAATAAAAAAGACCTGGGAGAAAAATTTTAGTTAGAGGAAAGAGGAAAAAGGAGTGCACCCATGAGTTCGGTGGCGATCCAGCAGTGGGTGAAAGGAGAGCTCGATTATTTACCTCTTATTTACACTAACCATGTGGTGGCCTGAAGTGGGCGTGGCGGCGTGAACTTTATTTTGTTCCCCCCCCCCCACCCCCCCCCCGTCAGAAA